TATTATAGTCAAGTTAGACGACCTGGGAGTCTCAACATGTAACTGAAATGCCAATGACATGAAACATTCTGCAATGCTTCAGTAAAATTATACATATATATGTACAGGTCCCCTCAAACTAAAACGGAGCGCCGGAGCGGCGACCGAACTGCATCGCCGCACTATCTAGCAGCGCCGGCTACAACTGATAGGTGCCATACGTCTGCGCATGTGCGCGGGCCATTCGCGGTGTCCTGCGTCTTTCTTGTTTGATCCTCACATTACAGGCGTCTCGAGCTGCCAAACGCTGTTCCGATAGACACCGCTAGGTGTTCGGCTCGCACGGGGAGATAACGCTGAGGGCAAGTTGGAGAAAAGGGCGAGTGTTGAGCGTTGACGATGACACCGCCCCGTGTGCTATCAGGCGGCGTTTATAGGAAGAGAGTTGCACCGCTCGAGCCACCAATAACGCGTGGGTTGGAAGAAGAAAACGGAGGCCCCCCGGAAGACCCGCTTGCCTGTGCGGACGTAGCCTATCAGTTCCAGCCGGCGCTGCTAGGGAGCGCGGCGATGCAATTCGGTCTAAAGCCCCTTGATAAAGGTGTTTTCAGAAGTACCGCCATCCATTGTTGTGGAAATGCGCAAGACACGTGCCACGAGCGGGTGCTCCGCCGCCATTCGCTTCCAAGGGCCGCTCATTTCAGTGCTGCGCCGCCATTTGCTTCCAAGGGCCGCTCAAGACCTGGGCCACGTGCGCTCGCGCATTTGGCGCTATCTTGCAAAGACAAACGAAAACATATCGAGGGACTTTAATTCGGTCTAAAGCCCCTCGATGTGTTTGCGCTTGTCATGCAAGTAGCGTCAAATGCGCGAGTGCACGAGGCATATGTCTCGAGCGGCCCTTGGAAGCAAATGGCGGCGCAGCACTGAAATGAGCGGGCCTTGGAAGCGAATGGCGGCGGAGCACCTGCTCATGGCACGTGTCTCGCGCGCTTCCACAACAATGGTTGGCGGGTACTTGTAAAAAAACGCTTTTATCAAGGGGCTTTAATTCGGTCGACGCTCCGGCGCTCCGTTTTACTTTGAGGGCACCTGTACCCGCTACAGGTAAATAAGAACCAAACTGCATCTATTAAAATTTATTTTAAAATGACCAGCTCAGTATTAGATATCGCAGCATTAGGTTGAATAGTTGTATAATAAATAGAAGCAGTCTCTAACTGTTGATACACGTGATCACTGCAGTGCAATGCGAAATTGTCACGCGAGCGGAGAAGGCTGTTCGATCGAAACCATGCCACTCCGCTCCGTCGCCAACTGGTTCCCAAAATTGTACACAAAATGTAACTGCCCAGCATACGACAAAAACAGCCCAGCCGCACGTGCTTGCCAGAGTAGCTGGTGAGGTACAAGCTAAACGCACAGAAAAAAAAAAAAAAAAACCTGAGCACATCGATGCAAGACATCACGAGCCAGAGTCAAAAAGTTCTTGGAGTGCTTTGTGCAACGACTGAACTGGAGACAAACAAGCGCGCTGTGCGAGTTCAGCGTAACAGACATTGCCTTCTTTGGTTTAGCTCACTTCTCTTCACAAACTCTTTCGCGGGCAGATTTTTCGCGTACCAGGGTCCCTCTCGAAAGAAAGCTTCCCAAAAGAAACCTAGGTAAACAGTACTTCGACACAGCAGTCTTTGATCTAGAGGGATTTTTGTAGTAGCGTATTAAACAAGAACAGAAGTGTTGATGAACATTAGGGCGTTCCTTACGTTTCAGTTTAGAAAGCGCCATATCTGCAGCGACGTGGCGACGGCAACACTCGAGGTCGCGCGACCACGGCGACTGGCAGGCAGGGACCAAATATTATTTTCCCACGGCCGTTGCTTTCAGGAGCAAGTGCTTCAGCTCACAAAGTAACTCCCACCGCGCAAAAACATGGTTTCGTTTCACAGCATGATGACATGGCTGGCACCCAGCACGCCGGTGTCGGAGCGCCCGCACATGGCCGCGTCTATCGTTGAAAACATTATAGAAAAGACGCGAGACAACGAGAGCGCGAAACGAGAGACGGCGGGAAAAACCATGCAAGACCGGATGAACGATTGATGCAGGGTACTTTGTGACGGGCAGCCGCTTGCGCCACCTAGCTCACGTGTGCTCATTACAGTACTCAGTTTAGTTTCGGTTTTGAAAGGCAAGCAAAATTGGTTCTTTGGCGCAGGCTTGGCGCAGATTACCCATATTTTGGCAAAATGTAGCAGGATGTAGCAGGGTTAGCCCCTTGGCGCAGTTTGGCGCAATTGACGCAGCAATCACATCACTGAGTGCGCAGGTTGGTGTCGTCTGCAGCCGCCCTCAGTCATCTACGACGGCATGCGTAGAGTAGTGCACGGGTAGCAGAAGTGCATAGCCGCCAGTGGGGACTATATTGAAAAGCTCTGTCCTCCGGGAAAAAAAGATATTCGAAACTTTCATTCGAATGAAACATCGTTCAATTCCATCACCGAATAAAAGGTTACAGCCTATAGTATCCAAAACGTATCATCACCTTTCGTATATGATGCTGCTGGGATCGAAAGTACCATATAGGATTACAAATCATCAGGTACAAACCCCACCCTCCAGGTCCCCGGACGAAGCTCGTCCACTGCGTCCACTTTTATTGCATCTTTCTTGCCCCAAACCTCCATTGATTATAATCGCCTTCCCGCAGTCATTGTTGCAATTACTGGCACTGTTGGTTTTAAAATTGCAATAGACAATTGGCTAAATACCCCAAGCGACCCGGCCCGCATTCGAGGAATCATGGGAACGGTGTTCCTTCAGTTTCCTAGTGATCGGTAATTTCGACCAATTCGATGCTTACACACTTTGGAGCGTAATCCGGAGTCATCCTGGATAAGCGTCGTGCAGATTGCAGAGACCTGTCATATCACTTTTAAAATTTCTAGTCAATGCCAGCTTTTTTGATACTGTGCACGGAATACATCCTTCAACCTGGCTGAACTGTAGAACTCTCTTTTAATATTATCATTCAAGTACAGCTTCAAATACTCTGATAATAACATAGAACACTAAAAAAAGTGATCCGAGCTAAATCCTGGTTTTGGTTGTGGTGAATTCCCGGCTTTTTAAGCAATTCTTGCTAAAAAAATAATCACGAGAATATAGTAAAGGCCCGTTCACACGATGCATTTTTCTCGCGCATCTAGTGTCGTGAAACGTAGTTTCGCGAAATGGTTGCGCCGTCTGAACGAGTCCGAAAAGGACGCGCGTCCTTTTCGGACTCGTTTTACTTTTATACAAACTGTACAATAAACTCACCTCTTTACTGTAATGCCTTCAAGCCCTGGGAGAAAAACACACATATACACACACCAAAAAAAAACAAAAAAAAAAACGAAACAGTGTTTAGACAACGACCAACTCGAGGGAAAAAAAAAAAATCAAATTGGGTTTTCTACGCATTCCACCAACAGCACGTCGGATTTTTCATCTTAGCCTCACGGCTGGGACACGCCGTAAGGAACGCCGCGGGGGTCGCAGGACCAAGTGAGATAACTTGACCCTGCGGGGGGGTCAAGGTCCCACTTGGAACAATTGACTGGGTCCATCGAGGGGCGGGCAGCAGCAAGAGCCGGCAGTCCGCAGACTGCGTACACCACTTGCGAGATATTCGAGGACCGAGACGCGGCCGCTCGGATAGGCATATCCGTCAAAAAGTCTTGCCTACGGTACCTGTAAACGCAACTCAGACCGGCACGTTTAACGCGCGTCCTCATTCCTGTCCCCTCCGTTTCCGCCTCGTGTCGCCTCAACCGTGCAATCCCATGGCCGTGGCGAAGCAGCGAAGATGAATTCGGCAGACGCCTGTCCCGCGGCTGTAACGCGCTCTGCAACTGGCCTCTGGGCAGAAACTCGAGCAGCCAAGGGTAAAGACGCCCAGGAACGTCAATATTGGGAGAGTTTGGCCAATGAACGGAGATAGTATAGCCCGCTGGAAGCCTGGAACAAGCAGACTCGACGATACCACAATGTCCACGGCGTCTTACCTTCTCGAAAGTCGGCCACGGTTTGTTATAAGCCAATAACGCAAGACGGCGGAGGGAACATGCCGATCCTCGGTGGCCAGACTCCCAGCAGCGGTTGTTAGATTGTCTGCATTTTTTGAAAAGACAACCGGACTCGCCCAGCATAAACGGCCCTGCAGAGACGTCGCCACGACGCCAGTGACGCCTGCTTCCGCTTGCATGTTCTTCGCCAGCGTTTCTATATACGGCGAACCGCCAGGAACTATACGTGACTATACGTGATTCCTGCGACGTACTAGGCTGCCACTGCCGTGACTGCGACTCAGAGGCCGGAGACGCGTCCGGCGTTTCCGCGTAGCCAGCACATTCTTCGGCCGCTGCAGGACGGGGGGACGTCTAAAGCGCATGCCCATCATTGCTGCGGAAAGCGCGGCGCGAGTCGCGCGGTCCGAACGGGTTTTCCTTGTCGTCTCTCGGATGGTGTCATCGAGGGCCAATCGCGTTGCCAGCGCGTGCCTCGGCCTGCCTTTCCGCCGGCCGACGCCGGGAACGCCGTCGGAACGACTGCAGGTACGCGCGGCAACCGGCGACCGCCACGGCTCTACGCGCGCAGAAGCACATCCCGCACGCACGATGGAACTTCCCAGGCGGATGCGCGAACGGTGCTGACTCCACGTCAAACCCTCGTGCGTGCCGCACCGGAGAACCTCGATGGACTGACGAACATCCAAGCAGGCGAGTGGGGCTTCTTTGTTTTGAGCACTGCGGGGCCGAGTTTTCCTGCGAGTCACAGTCCGTTACCCGTTGGAGTCTGACGTTGAGCTGGCAAGCGATGTCGGTATACAGCGTTCAGTCCACCACAGTCGTTTGCACTTCGTTAGTTTTACGATCCTAAGTTTAGATTCTAGCCACCGCTATTCATTCATTCATTCGTTGTGTGTACTAAGAAAGTGCGCGTCACACTTGCAACTTATACACATACAGATAACACAACGTAAACGCTGTGCACTCTCGGAATTATATGGAGTGTAGTACTTACACTCCTCGTCCCATATGTAACTCCCCAAAACCACATTTCGACGTTGAGTCCATTGACGTCAAACTGACGATACCAACTTTTACGAGCGCCTTAAACTTAATAAATATTAATAATTAAAAAAAAAAAAAAGTTTTGTATAGCGTGGTCAACAAAACCTTCAGTGTTTTCCTGCAGTCTTTAATGCGTAGATTAGCTATTTTAATAAGTTGTATCACTCGACTATCAAGCCGCTCGTGAAAGTTGGTATGGTCGGTTCGACGCGGACTAAACGTCAAATTGTAGTTTCTTTTTCTTTTTTGTATGTTTGTGTGTGTGTGTGGGGGGGGGGGGGGGGGGGTGTTAAGTATATCGGACAAGGGGTGTAAGTACCAGAGTGTCGAACCGAGATTTTTATCGGTTCGGTTCGGGTTCACGGCTTTCGGTTCAGTTCAAGTTTTTGAAACGCTAAATTTAGAATATATTTTCCGCGTTTTTTTGACAATATGCACTCGTAAAATCCAATTTTATTTGCAGGTGCCAGAAATAAGAAATTGCATTATTTAATTTCGACTCAACAGACTCAAACATCCATAGCTCAGTCACATATATTTGACCTGAATCGAAAGGTTGTCAGAAAGTGTGGTAGGTCGCTTCAAAAATATCAGTGATTGGTAAACCTTTGTGTGGCAGTATTAAAAACTGAATCGTAGTTATGCTCCTTAACTAATGAACCAATTACAGACGGTGCATAAAATCACGGAATGGGCACCTCGTCACCATATATATCTTTACACTCAGCACCGTAATGCAGGCGAAGAATCATGCATGCAGAAAGGAGTGATCAAAATTGTTTTATCATACGCACCTTTGTACTGAACATAGTCTTATGCAGGATAAACTGGCAAAACCTGGCTGGAGTGGTTTGTTCTTGACAAGATGCCGGTCAATTCAATTTGCAAATAATTGCTAATTGATGAATTTTTTTTTTTTTGTTAGATAGAACAAAGTAGTATTTCATGCTCTACTCGACACGGTATAGCTACTTAATTTGTCCCTTTCTGACGGTCTGACATCGGCCGTGGTGTCCTCTGACCTTTTTGAAAACTGCGAGATTGCGCGTACATAGCTTCGATAGGCGCTGAAGATACGCGGGAGCGGAGATTCCGAAGGCTCTGTTTATATGGTGTCACACTCCGGAAAGCAGGGGCCTCCACGGTACCTTAAAAGTTATTTTCCGTGCACTATATTGAAAAATAGTCTCCATATTCGTGATCCTGGAGGCCAAAATAAGGACAATTCAGTATAATTCGTTAATTAAGTTTTTAATTAATGAAAATAGAAATATGGTTCCAATTATAGACCCTCGCTGAGAGCCATCAAAAACCACTAAATCAGCTCTTTTTAGGAAGATATTAGACAGGGGCAGCATTTCACGGCGTTCTAAAAAAGGCGCTCAATTCGGACGCGTTTCTAGGTTTCAGTTTCGTATCGGAACGAAGCGGTCCTGCTCCCCGGTGGCGGCGGCGCGAAACCACCCCCTCGCCTCCCTCGTAGGATGTGTTTCGCGTATCAGCCACTAGGCAGCAGAACTGCGGGCGCAAAACTGCGCTCCGTTAAGAAACCGAAACCTAGAAAAACGTCCAAATGGAGCGTTTTTACGGAACGCAGTAAATGCTGCCCCTCCGTTATATCTTTCTAAAAAAAAGTTGATTTAGTGGTTTTTGATGACGCTAAACAAGTTTCTAATTAGAACCATATGTCTATTTTTACTAATTAAGAAGATAATTAACAAGTTTTACCTAATAAGCCGACTGATAGTCACGATTGGCCCCGTATACTGTGACCCCCGTATAACTCATCTGCACAAACAACATAAGTGGAGCTTTCACGGCTTCTTTAAAACTATTTTGTAAAGCTTAAGAAAAAAACAAAACAAACTTATATGCATATTGCGCAACTTTAAAATTTGGACATCTATTTTTGCTAGTGTTTCGAACATCACATTTCACCAGGAAACTCAATAACACGGTTTGCATAGAATGTGATCGCACTATATAGCTGGTGGTTATTCCGATTTGTTCTTGCTGAGAAAATCAAATCCGGTGGTGGAAAATGAACGTTAGGTTCGCGCTCCGCGCAACCCATGTATTTGAAAGACATAAACTATTATTAAGTTGCTTGGTGCAGCGCCCTGAGGAACGGCGCAAGCGTCTGGCACCACGAAAATGCGCTTTCTGGCGAGAGTGTTTTTGCAAACAAATATAGTTTCCGGGGCCACGATTTCTGGTTTATGCCGAAGATTCGGGGCTGAGGAACCTTTAAAACACAGTATGGATTGTAAAGGTAGCATAGCTTTTCAATTAAGTAAATTTTCAGTGTGGTTCAATTCCCCTGGCAGTGATGAGAAAAGTTACAACGTTACAATTGCGTTAAAAAAAAAGTCCGCATTAAGATAACATTGAACACGCATATTTAAATAACTTCTTATTGTTTCCGAAAGCCGAGTGACCGCGTTGAGTCCAATCTACGCTGCCTTCCCACGCGTGACGACCCAGCCATTGGGGACGAGATGTTTCGGTGGCACCCGTCTTATGCTTTCTCTCCCTCAGGACCAGGATTATCAGTGACGAACTGCAAGTTTGTCTCTTATAATGCGAAAAGCACGACGGAAGCTTGGGGACGGTCATCGCATTCTGAAACCTACACCGTCAAAGTTAAAAGTCTGACATTACTCTTACCTCCACGAAGCCTGACTAACCCTTCTAGAGTCGACATTGTGTACGTTTGGTCGATCGTGGAAGGGTGACTACAGCGGAGCTTTTGGTCGCGCCAAGAGTTGTTTCTCAGAGCATGTGCGATGCGAAGATGATCATTCCCGACAGTGGATTTAGACGTGTTCCCAAAGGTTTGGCAACGAAAATTAGCAGGTTTATTGCTGGGAAGTGGTGGCTATATTTTCGAGCATTACTTTTTACTACACGACTTCTGCTCGAAAGAAAAGCAGAAATTTTCGCAACTCGCTAAATTGTTGGCGGTGACACGGAAAATTCAGGCGATCGATTAATTTGTTGTATTCAATTTTTACTAAGAATTGTTTACAAATTTCAAATCGCTCGCTGAGAAGCGCATCACGTATTACACACAATTCCTTGGGTCCGCCAAATCAAACGAACAAACGGTAGTAAATCATAGCAGTTGTATATTTCATTTTTTTTGGGACGCTGAAGTGTCACCGACTTACGAGATTTAGCAGACCTCGATCACGAAGAGGCCTCGCACGCTTCCCGTCGTCCGGGAGAACAAGCAGGGATTTAGTTGAAACTACTCCGAAAGGCAGCCACCGCTCCTTCCTGCCAGTTATTTTAAGGAAATGTTTGTTTACTGGTTTACAAAATTCGAATCAACTTGGAACTAAAAAGAAACCAGCACTCATAGATTACACTGCAACCAGCAGGATACACGGAGTCGCTTTCACTGAAGTGTTTACCACACACGCGAGAAGTTTTCGAATTTCGCTTTCCGATTAACAATTTGATGATACATTTCTTTCTCAATATTATTTTGTCCAAATCATAAATAAAAAAAAAAGATACACCCTATTCGCGGTGGCAGATGTAGCGCGGCAAAGAGCGGGATATTCTATTTTATTAGACAGATTTTTGTACTGGAGTCGTACCGGCCCGTGCGTGCGGACGTGTATTGCGTAATGCACGTTAAAGACCCCAGGTCGGCAGTCGTACTGTGGCACTGGCTAAATTTCTCATCTACACTGGTTACAATGTCGCCATACTGTGGTAGACTAAACTCCTGCTTTCTAAACAACGTCTAATTGGTTAGTTTGTTTTGAAACATTCTTAAAAATACGATGGTTGCAAAGAAAAAAAAGAAAAAAAAAAAGAAAGAAACTCTTTGGGAACAAAACAAATTGACATCCATGCACGACGGACATCAGGCATTGCACAAAAACAAACTAATTAGCTATTTAATTACTAAAACGTTCTAATTAACTTTTTAACTAGCGCGGCTTGGGTGGTCAGTACCAAAATCGAACTTGTAATCACAAAAAACAACAACAACAACAACAACAAAAAAAACGAGCTCTTTTATTTATTTTTGAAACGGAGGAAAAGTCTTTTTAAGCCCCGCAGCGCGATAAGATCTCGCCTTTTCTGCAGAAAATTGAAACGCAGTACAGGATGGTGCCCCGTGCGTGCAAGCAGGTGCAGCGTGCGCATAAACGTAGCTTTGGCAAGCTTGCAATACACCTTTCCAGAAAAGCGTACGAGGGCGCGTTCATTGCTGTGTTTGTTTGTTTTGCACGCGCACTTTCTGGCTGGCCGCAACTGCGAGCGAGCGCTGGCTGCAAACTGTGATTTAGCACGTCTGGACTTGGATTTTTGGAAACATTGAAAACGTGTATTGCACGTACTTGCCCTAAAGTCCATTAATAAATGCGAAAAAAAATCGAAGGGCTTTAACTTGCCCTCACGAACATGGCGGCGGCCAGATGCCGTGCTTGCAATAGTCTATTTCGCGTCGAGAAGTTTAGGCATCGCCGCCCAGTGGAATTTTTTCACAACCCAGAGTGAGGATACTTGAACTTTCTCTGCTGGTGCAAGCATGTGCAATGCCAAGCTTCTATGCACTATGAAAATTAAAACATAACCGCTTGGGCAATAGTGAGGAAAACAGAAGCGCCCTATAGCGAGCTCGCGAA